GGATATGACTGAAATACAATGTGGCATGTGCTGTAATAGAGTCATGCACAGGATGTCAGATGGAGAGCAATGAACTAGTTTATACTATTGTGTGATTGAATGTGCGTCCCCCCACCCTGTGACCTCTTAGAGTTAACTGCATTTAGAAATGAAATGCTTGTTAAACTAAATGAATTTAAAATTGATATAAGTTTGATTTCAAGCAGAGAATAGAGTGGAATGAAGAAAACTGAGGCATTGTGAACAAAGATAGCTTGGGGATAAGGGCAGGATGCACATGGGCGCATTTGCCCCGCCTTAAGGACTATCCCTAGAGACAGCTATTACTGCTGTCGAGAGATTTATTTTCCTTCCTTTGGTTCTGAAAACTAAGATTTTAATCTAGTCTGTCTCCACACCTGTACCTTTCCCACTTAACTGTTTCTATTGGGTAGAAGTTCAAAAGTGGCCGATTTCAACTCAACATAAGGAAGAACCTTATGAAAGTAATCACCGCTGTCTAATGTATAGTGAGCATCTCATTGTTTGTATTAATCCAAGCCCAGCACATTGTTGAAATGAAGGATGTTGTAGAAGGTATTCTTAAATTGTTTGGGAGGTACTTCCTAACTCTTAAGATTTTATGGATTATAAAATGCGAGTGCCTTGGAGGACTTTTGTTTTGGATTCACGTTGTGGTATTGCTACAAGAGGTTGGTAACAATTTGTCAGACTTTGATCTTCCTTTGACTTCACTTGCAAAATCCTGCAGTTTCTCTCTATTATTGCCCTGATCTCCAATCAGGATTATTGAATAGGACAGATACAAAAGATCCAAAAGATTTTTATAAGAAACAGCATTTATTCAAAGAATGATAACTATATGTAGTCAAGCTTCTTAAGGACTTGTTGGTTTATTATTTTATAACTTTTTCCATGGAAAAAAGAGCTCAACAACTTTCTTTCCTTAATGTGTATTAAAGACATGATCACAGATTTAGAAGATACTTTGGCTAAATTAGGTTTATCTTTTATCTCGTGGCTGAAAAACACTCTTCTAGCTGTATTACATATGATGTGGATAATTTTTACTCTCCTTAATGTTTTATTTTCCTTGCCTCCAATTTCTGGTGCTCAATGTAGCTTTGAAAACCCATTTGAATTCTGCATTGAAAGGACATGTTTTTAAAGGCTGTGAGAGTTCACTTAGATTTTATTTTAGTTCACAGCAGTGTTCTTTACTTCTTGTCCCTGAGATGAGAGAACAAAGCAATATCAGCAACCTTGACTTGATTTATGTGTAGATAGGACCTGCCATGAGAGGAGTAACAAGTGAACCCCTTTGTGAGCACTCATTTGATGGAACCTTATCATTATGGAGACTGAAGGACACATTTTATTGATAGATTGGCTCCGGGCTATGCAGAAAGGTCACCGTGGGAATATCCTATCCATCAATTTAGATTTGCCTGTGTTCGAGGGAGTCAAAGTGGTAGGTGGAATGATTGGAAAACGAAACCCAAACCCAAACCCAAACAAATCATTTCAGTCCTAGAAATGCATTTGGGAGGAACCACTTGGCAGTAACTTTTGGAGCCTTTCTTGAAGCATGTCTCTCCATTTCAGATGAAAAGCTGAGAAAAGAGATTGTGTTTGTACTTTTAGAAAGGAAATAAAACCAGTGGAAAAGAGAGAGAAGCAAGATAGTAAAGGGCTAAATCATAGGGCTTTGTGTCTTTATATATTGATATATTATAGGATAATAGTAATTTATACTTTCATTTGAAAAGAAATGAATGTCTTTTCACTTAATGCAATTTGAATAATAATTCTTTTTCAAGGTGAAATGGCTTTTAAAAAGTAAAGGAATTGTAGGTGCTTTTGTGTAAGTGGCTTGTGGTAGAGTTAAGCATAAACAGAATAGGGACATACGTGACAATCTTAGGGGGCAAGGAGGTTCTGAACAGGCCATTTGGGTTCTGTTCAATAAGAGAACTATCTAGAAATGTGCTACATTTCAGAAAGTGTACTCTATCTCTGCAAATAACAATGCTAGTGGGTTTTTTACAAAACCCTCAACAGTTACAGTACAGTTGGCCTTCCAGATCCGAGGGTTCCACATTTGGGAGTTCAGCATCTAGGGTTCCCTCAACTGCAGATGGAAAGGCCTATGATGGTTGGGTCTGTACTGAACATATACAGTACAGACTTTTTTTCTTGTCATTATTCCATAAACAATGCAGTATTTCAACTATTTACATAGTATTAACATTGTATTAGGTATTATAACTACCCTAGAGGTGATTTAAAGTGTACGGGAGGATGTGCGTAGGTTATATGCAAATAGCATGCAGTTTTTTCTATGGGACTTGAGCATCCCTCGATTTTGGGATCCACACGGGTCCCGGGAGAAATCCCCTGGGGATACTGAGGGATGACTGTAGTTTTTAGTAGATGAATAAATAATGTCTTATAACTACTTGAAAACGTGGCTAGAGTAATCCTAGGACACTCAGCACATAAATTGTCCTGTTTTTTCCATTTCAAATAGCTTATTATAGTTTCCTGAGTTGACTAGAACATGTTTTGATACTAAACACAAAATGCTTACTATGCACTAGTGTTTTTAATAGTATAGCCAAATTTGGAGTATGTAACTGCACTTAAATGTTTTCGTATATTATTAGATTTGTCATAATTGGTCCTTTTGAGACTTTCAGCTTAATTATCTTTGTTTTTAATATCAAATTTTGCTGAAGACATATGAAAGAATTTTAAGTATTATGAATATATTTGATTATAAGCATATTTGAAATTCACTACTTTGAATAGGTACAAATGTCTATGTTAAATCACTGGGGACAGCCTTTTGGTAGATTCTTATTATTCTCAAGAATACTTCAAATATCCATTTTTATAGTAAGAGACTTGTGAAGTGCATCAGGTGGCATAACGTCTAAAGAACAGTAAGGCTTCCACTCTACATATTTGCTTCTATTTTTAAGAAACAAACTGTGTTATTAATCTAAGAATTAGAGTATGTCAAGGTAAGAGTCAAGGAGGATGATTTTTTAGTTACAGGATGGTTTGTGTGTGTTTGTCTCTCACTGCATGTGGATCAGGTGTACAGTGTGGAAGGGCCTTGGTGAAGCATTGATGTTTCCACTTACACATCCACTTACACAGAGATCACGATTATCTTTGAATATACACAGTAACACATTTGTAGGTCTGGGAGAAGGATCCAGTAGAGTGAGAGAGGTTGAAGAGCAAAGAGGTGCTGATTTTATGGAACTGGACCTGTGGGGGTTGAAAGAGGCTAGAAGGAGAATGGGGGTAGACTCTAAGGGGAAGGAGCTGGGAGGGAACATGAGCCCTACCCTGAGATTCTGATATCCCTCAGGGATTGGAGGCAGGGGTATAGGAAAAAGAACCATCCTCTTATAGAACCACTGAGAGTGAGAGGAGCATTGAGAGGTTGATTCTGAAAAAGAGAGACATCATGAAAATCTGTGCTCATTCATTCATTCACTCATTCATTTATTCACTCATTCATCTATGCATCCATCGTCTGTTACGTCAATCAAAAAGAAAACGGTTATCCATTCGTATATCTAAAATAATAAATAAAGGATCTATTTAAGTAGAGGTAATACTTTCTTTTTTCTTTTAGTTTCTATGCGTATCATAGGGAATATCAGGATATTATCTAGGGGCAGATTCTCATACTCTCTTAAAGGCCTGTAAATATAGGAAACTATAGAAGAAAATAGGTAACAGCTAAGTGAGAAGGTTTTTGCATTGATAGTAATACTTGTTTCTGTGGACTATAAATTTATTTTTTTAATAGGCCAAGTTATATAGTATAGGAGCGATGTGTTTCTTACCGTTTATCTCTGTGGACCCTCAGTAAATACTTGCTGGTCGATTATTTTTATTTTATTTTATTTTTTTTAGGAAGATTAGCTCTGAGCTAACTGCTGCCAATCCTCCTCTTTTTGCTGAGGAAGACTGGCCCTGAGCTAACATCCATGCCCATCTTCCTCTACTTTATATGTGGGATGCCTACCACAGCATGGCTTGCCAAGCAGTGCCATGTCCGCACCCGGGATCCAAACCGGCGAACCTTGGGCCACGCAAGCAGAACGTGTGCACTTAACCACTGCGCCACCGGGCCAGCCCCACTGGTTGAATATTGATTGTGAACAAGTTAATACAAATTTTTGGGTTTAGTGATTTGGATAATAGTCTTCATGGCTGATGTGTTAATTTGAATATGTTATGATATGCCACATATGATCATTTGGTATATATGTGTATTCTTATGCAAAAATCTCACTGAATTGATTTTTAAGATTAATGTTAATGCTTTAAAGAGTGGCTTATAATTTTAAAAAAGTTTGTCTTTTACAAATATCAATACCTTCTCAGAGGCTTCTTCTCTCCTTTTATTAAAACTATGCCAATTTCTATTAGTTTCTTCTCTGTACAGGAAAGTAAATTGCTCCTAGCTTTCTTCTCCAATCAAACCCTCAAATAAACAATTCCTAAAACAAGTAGAAATGTATTACACATCCTCCAGAATCCTACCTAGCTCCTCATCTGAGTCCTCATTAACAAGAACAGTCAAAATATGGGCTCTGGCGGCTTCAGTGCCGTGATTTCATGGAAGTCAAAGGACTTGTGTACTATTAGCTGTGTCTCACCAACTCGCCATTCTTTTCACTTCAGACTCCTGATCAAATGCAAACCCATGTGTGCTGGTTTTTCTTTCAGTCGTGAATATACCAGCATAAATTAATTTGTTAAGGGATCTAAGCCCAGACAGCATGACCTCAAAGATCAGCTGGGGAATACCTCATTTCTCTGTTGGTGGACTAGGACGCTGGGCCTCCGAGGGCTACAGTTGGTATCGGGAAGGGGTGCTGAATCCAAATCTCATGTATTCTGTGATTTTCATTCGTCCTCTTTTTTAGTAGGTATTTTTCTTTCTTCATAAGTGTCTTTGTTTTTGTGCACAGGCAGCATGTCAGCTGAAACACCAATCACACTGAATATCGATCCTCAGGATCTGCAGGTCCAAACATTCACCGTAGAGAAGCTACTGGAGCCTCTCATAATCCAGGTAGTAATACCATGAAAATGACAATGTGTAGTAACTTCAGAAGAACTAATACACATGGGAAAAATAGATAATGAACCAAGGAAAGATTTGATTTTTATAGAATAAATATCGTCTAAAATCATCCTTTAAAGTATTGTTAAACTGTAAAAGAGTATGTATTGGGTAATAATGATAAAATTCTTAGAGTCTTTCCCAGTTTATCTTTTAAAAGCAATAGCAGTAATGATATGTATGTGTAGCTTTAAATTATCTTGTTTCAAAGTCAAGAAAACTGAGTGGGGCAGGTAGCATGGTTAAAACTATCTTTATTATATAAATGAGGAAACTGAGCCTAGAGAATTTCAGTGACTTGCTGCAAGGCACATGGTGTCTCATTTGTCAAATAGGAAATTATTTTTAAAATACCAAAATGTATGAGAAAAGCAGCTATTTAAGGAATTCTATGATAAAGTCTTTCATAAATTTAACAATCCTTTAATCCTTTAATGATAGCATGCATAATGATTCTCCGACTTATTTATTAAGTCCAGATTTTATTCAAGCTTTGCTTGAAGAAACTTATACCATAGTATGGATTTAAATTTTTTTGTCCTTAACTCATAATTTGTGAGGGAACTCCCCGTTAGGCTTACCTTACATCATACCTCCTAAGACAAACTATCCATTTTTTGAAGGCCTTGAAACACTCAAGGGTTACTGGGGTGAGAAGCTACGCTGACCTTACCTCTGATAACTTAAAAATATTCTGCTTATCTTCTCTGTGGGGTGGATGGAGGGGAGGGGAGTAGCTCTGAGAATAGACTTTGCACACGTTTTTACTTAGCACAAGTTGATATCTGCTACTAGAAAGACACTTTAAAACATATGCCTCACTGACGATAGCTTAATCATCAACCTTGGCAGTCTAAAAGGCACTAATATGTGGTATGAAATTGATGCTAGATGACTATGGAGACTCCTTTAAAGTCCCCATCTTAGCCTGAAAGGTCTTATGTTAAAAAGAAAAAAAAAAGCTTATTTATTGTTTTTGTAGTAAAGTTTACTGGAAAAATTGGAAAAGGAAAACAAAATAAAATAAAAATAAAAACAAAAAAAGAAAATAAGAAATCACTTACAATTTTAGTACCAAGAAGTAAACATTAGTATTTGGATGCATTTACTTCCAGTACGGTAAAATTGTGGCTGATTTTTATTACTTCTTAGTACTTTATCATATTAAAGAACATATATACATATCTGATATATCTATAAAGACTGTAAGTAAACAAGATGGCGATAGTACGGTGTATGTAGGTTATGTCTCACTCTTCCATTTAAAATGATACCTTGATAATTTCCTCATTCTTTGTAAGCATGACAATAAAATTGCTGTTTAATCATCCGTCATATGGCTGCACCATAGTTTTTTAAGTAGCCTCTAATTTTTGGACATTAGGTTTTTTTCTATTTTTTACTGTTATAAATAATACATGAATTTTTATCATCAGTTCAACTTGTTTCCCTAAGAATAGTTACTAAATATAAAGGTAAGTGGCCAAGATATGAGAATTCTTATGTTTTTTCATACATATCATCAATTTTTTGGGGAAAGTTTTAAATAATTTCTCACAAGTCATTTAAGATTTTGTTCCTATGCAATTACCCCGTGTGGGGTGGGGAAATTGCCTTCATTTTGGAGATAGCTGGTAAAGGGAAGTGCATTAATGCTACTGCATAACCCTTATTTGTCCCATAACGATGGAACATTAGAGTTGGTCACTTAAGACTTGCCAATCACAAAGGCTGCTGACATATTGCTTATGAACAGAGATTGTATCATTATGGAGAAACTACTTTTTTATTCTAATTGAAACCAATAGATGTTTTGCCTTAATCAAATGCATTGATATTGCAGTCAATAGAGAGTATTCTAGGTAAATTCACATTAAAGAGTATGCTGTGCAGAGTTTGTGTGTATTTTCTGGCATGTTTAAAAATTATTTAATCTATAAACATTTATTGAGTCCACCTAGAAAACTAAAGGGGTGAAAATGACCTAAAGTAGTTTTATTCCCTTGGAAAGAAATTTAACTCTTTTAAAAAGTGTGATTATACTAATTTTAGAGAGCTTTTAATGTGATGCCTAGATTCAGTCTTTTCATGATCTGCAAGTAGATGAGTCAGGGAAAGGGAAATTAGTACTTACTCTATGCCAGATAGTTCTCAGTTACACATAAGTGTAAATTGTTAATTTTATTTTCCTTAAGATTGTTAGTGTTTTTGAAAATGTTTATCGATTTCTTAAAGGTGGTTTGGTATACTACTACACCAATATTCCTGTTAGAAAGAACAGAAAGAAAGTTTCTAGATCTTAGCAATATTCAAGTCAAATTAAATTAAAAATAACGATTTATAGAATATTTACTATGTTTAGGAACTATCTCATAAAGCATTCTAGTACAACAAAATTATTTGAACACACTTTTGGTTTTCATTATAATGGATTCTCCTTATGAAAAACTAATGCATTTCAAAGTTAAAGAGTTATTGAAATAACTGACCTTTGGATTGGATGCACAACCTTCTTGTGTCTGTCACTTCGATCACACATCACCTATCAATACAAGTAAAAAATTCCATTAAATGTTTTTTTTCTAGAATAGCATCATACTAAATATCTCGTCACATTTTTTTTTTTTTTTCAAAGTTTGGTTTTAATTTGAGATAGTTGCTCTTGGTTTATTTTAAATATGTGATATAGTCTCTAATTATACTGGAAAACATTCCGAAAGAAGTTAATGATCTTTAAGTTCATGGTGCCACCAGGTAAAGCCATCAATTTAGTAGCCCCGTTAAAAGAATTTTCACCTTTCCTCATTATTTACCTTCATGTTATATTCCTTCGCGTTCAAGGTTCCACAGATATTTCTTACCACCTCTGTATATAACTCAAAGTCAAAATTCCATTTTAATATTTGGAGTAATTGGTCATAGATACTATGATGTCTCTCTGACTTGTAAATTCATTTATTCATAAATCTTTATTCTACTCTTTTTATAGTTACCAGAGTCTTCCCCATCAAACCTGATTTATCTTTAATCTATTTTTTTCTCTTGGGCACAGGTAAATCACTAGGTCATTTTGCAGGGATGTTCAGCCTGGAATATATTTCAATCATTTCCTTTCATTTTCTCTGTGTGATAACTTACACAGTTGCATCTCTCTGTAATAAATTCCTCCAATGGATCAGAAATAATTTTTTTCTCAGCAATTACATTTTTATGATTGCAACTGTAGGCATCTGCACTTTATCATTTTCAAGATCCAAGTTTGGCAATGCAGTGCAGAAAGTCTGTTTATGCAGAACTGCGATTAAAAGAATTTACATCTCTATGTTGTATACTCTCTGAAGGAGATATAAACTGTTAGATCGTGCTACAGTCATTACATAATGGAATCGTCTCTAATCTTATTTGCTACAAAATATAATTTGCTATGTGTAAGATTCATGTTCAGTGTGAGCTAAAAGAACTGACTTACTCGAAATCTTATAAGATAAAAACAATAAAAAAGTCCTTATAACATGTTATCTTCAACAAGGTTTTCTTGGGGGGGCAAAGGTTCAAATGCATTTTCTGATGTAAATATATCCCATGTTTTCAAGAGGTAAATATAGAGTTAGATCAATAGTAATAACATTATTCCTCTGGCTCTCACCCCTAATTCTTGTATGACCTTTTGGCCTTTTCCCCATTTCCTCTTACATAGTGTCTCCTTTCTATTTCTGAGAGTCCCTTGGGGATGGCTTTTATATACTCTATCATACTCATTGGGTCAAGTTCAAGAATACCTGCCAGACCTTTATCAGTCAGCATAAGCTAGGTCATGCTGTGACAAGAAGACAACCCCCAAATCTCTGAGTCTTAAAAAAAGTTCACTTCCTACTCAAGCTACCTGTCCCGTGTGGGTTGGTTGGGGTCTCTGCTTAGTACAGGCACTCAGGGACCCAGGCTAATGTAAGCTCCATCTCAACATTTGCTTCCACTGTTGTTACAACAGGAGAGAGAGAACGTGATAAACCATGCAAGTGCTCCTAAAATGTTCGTCTGGGTGTAACATATGTCATTTCCACTCACATTGCCTTTGTCAAAGCTAGACATGCGGTCAATGTGAGTGCAGGATGTGTGATCCTGTCCTGTGCCCAGGAGAATGGGAATGTTTGTGAACAGCCCTAATAACTATTATCTTCTTGTTACCTCCTCTTTAGGGGTTCTTTTTTTTTTTTTACTAAGTCTCCATCTGCTATCAAGTCACCTTTCCACCCTGATCACAGCTGACTTTATCAGGTTGGGAACCTGACTTCCTGACACTCAATTATAGGTTGGCAAGAAGCCTGTCAGGCAATCTGGCATGAGAGCTTTGCTTCTGGGGATGATGGTGAACTGGTCCTATCACCATTGCCTCTTTGCGGGAACTGACTGCATACTGAGAGTTAAGCAGTCAGTACCTAGCATCAAACAGTTATATCAAGCGCAAAGCTGAAAGACACACAGAAAGAAGTAGAGACATGGAGAAGAGTTCTGGTGGTGCAGTTTTCAAGTTTGGGTCCACAAATTTCTGCTGTTGAGGGACAATAAGATTACCTAGTTACCAGGGTTTTAATGGATCCTTCCAATTTCCAAACCACAATCTAGTCTCCAAATTATATTCCAGTCTCTGTGTGGCCTCACTGTTTCCAGTTCCCTTGAGCATTGGCCATGTAGGCCGGATACTTGTGTTCCTTATGTAATCTGATTCCCTGACCTCTTCATCAGCAGCTGAAAGTTCTAAAGAAGTTCCATTAGCAGCAATCCAGGGTTCTTGTAATTGCCCTCACTCTCTTATGCTGGAATGGAGATTTTCCTGCAAAGCCTCTCTTTTGCCCTTTCCCTCATCTACAAATTTTGGAGTCTCTGAGGCATGACTCACCTATGCTCCCAAACCAGTCTATCTGCCATGTTTTTTCATTTTATCTGGCTTC